TCCTTGGAGACCCTGCTATGAAGGCCCTTGTTCATCAGTTCTTGTGACAATGCTCTGTCTCTCAGTTGGGCTCCTGTACAGTCACCCGGGCTTCTAATGGAGATTATAAGAAGGCATTCCAACACACAATATGCAGTTATTGTTCACTGTTGTCGCCATCAGGAAACCCACCGTGAGAAATGAAATGCAGCCGTTGCTAGAGTGCATGTAGACAGGAAGTGGCTGCAAAGAGGCTACAGGAGATTGCAAGCAATGACATGCAACAAGGGATTAAAAAAGGTTAAAACAAGTATTTTATATAAAATATGATAACTGTGTATGATACAGGGTGCTTTAACAAACTAAAAGTCGTGCATTTAGGGCTTACATCTACTTTAAAGCAGAACTCTGGGCTAAAACTTCTTTACATGTCCTTGTTGCTGATTTCCTACCTTCACCAGGGGCTGACTGACCATTCGGGTACTGCCTGAGGGCCCATGGTCAATAGGGGGCCCCATGAGATGCCCCTGGTACCTTTTATAGGCTTTTTTGGGGTGTGATTTGAGTGTGGGCGAGGACACAGGGGCCTCATTATCCCCTATTGCCCAGGGGCCCCATGAGTTGTCAGGCCGCCCCTGACCTTCACTGAATATGTCATCCATCTTCTGGTTCACTCAGTAGTTGCTCTGAAATAGCCTATTCATTTTCAAATAACCGTTACTTCTCTTTGGTTTCCTGTTTGTAAGACCGATGACTTCTATGCCTCCTTTTCCCCCAGCCAATAGTCTTGGTACATCCCTTCTGTAGTTTTTCTTCAGGGAGCAGTGATGTAATTCAGCCCCACTTGCAGTGGTGGGTGGACCAAGACTCTCAGACATATTCAACATGTACAGGTCTAGTGTACCTGCCCACATTCACTACAGTCCCTGTGGTGATGGGAACTGTAGTTTCCTATTACTGCAGAGAGAGGAGAGGATGTGGTGTAATCCCTGCTGTTACACCTCCTCCTTGGCAGAGCAGACGCTATTATCATTTGAATTACAGTCATGACATTTCAGTTAGTCTTTTCTCCTAAATTGTAAGGATTTTCAAAATTGTATTACCTGTTTAGTGTTTTCTGCAGGAGGTGTACTACTGGGTGATTTTTATTTGCCTATCCTGGAGTTCTTCTTTAAAGCATATCTAAAGACAAAACTTTGTTTTCATTTTGGGCAGCGTAGGGGAGGGCAAAAAACTGCTTTCAGAGGTTTCTTTTGCCATTTGAGTCATAAGGGAAATTTCCCTTCCTGTCCTGAAGACTCAACAGGAAGTGAGAGATCTTTCCAATGTGAGGGAGATCCCCACTTAGACAGCTGTCACAGGAAAAAGGGTTTCCATTAAAAGATTTTCCCTCTTTCTCTTTTGGTGGCAACTCAAAATTTTTAGTTTAACCTCACTTTTCTTTCCTGGTGACATTATTAGGACAATTACAGAGAATGAATCATCCTAATTGGGATACAGACCTTAATAAAAACCTGACAAGAGTTTCTAACCCCACCACTCTATCCAAATCTAAAAAATGTTTGCCTTACTTTGACCGTCTGCCCTATAGCAATAATACTGCTACAGGGTGGCACGGGTGCACAAAATCACGTATATATACATGATTTAGCATTCCCGTGTAGGGGGCACGCGTGAGCCGTGCATGCCCTACTCGCGCTGCTATTTGCAGCCTCAGCTGTCAATCACCAGGTGATTACTCGCCGGTACCTGGTGATTGAGGATTATTACCAACGGAGGGAGAGAACTGTATGTAAACAATACATTTCTCTCCCCTGTCAGCTCCTGCACACTGCTATGCATGGCTTTGCATAGCAGAGCCATGCAAAGCAGTGTGCTTACAGCACACAACACACACACAGTAAAACAGCACACAGTTAACCCTTTGATTGCCCTACATGTTAACCCCTTCCTGGCCAGTGCCATTAGTACAATGTCAGTCCCACTATAAGTTGCTGATTGCCGCCATTACTAGTAAAAATAAAATAAACAATCCCAGTATATATATACTGCCATTTGTAAATGCTAAAACTTTCACATAAACCAATTAAATTACACGTATTGGAATTTTTTTTAGCAGAGACATGTAGTAGAATACATTTTGGCCTAAATTTATGACAAAATTAGATTTTTACATTTTTCTACTGGACATAATAGCAAAAAGTAAAAAATATAGTTTTTTTTCTCAAAATTGTCAGTCTTTTTTTTTTTAATAGCGCAAAAAAATAAAAAAAAAAAAAAACGCACAGGTGATCAAATACCACCAAAAGAAAGCTCTATTTGTGAGGAAAAAAACAACATAAATTTAATTTGGTTGCAGTGTTGCATGACTGCGCAATTGTCAGTTAAAGTAATACAGCGCCGTAACACAAAAAATGGTCTGGTCAGAAAGGGGGGTAAATCCTCTGGAGTGCAAGTGGTTAACCAAAGGTGAGTATACAAACAAATAGGTACACTGGACCGTTTATTTTATTGGCAGCAGAAAACTGTTAAACGCTGCAAAAACATATGTAAACAAGGTACCGTGTTTAACGCTTGGGTGTTTATTCATTTCATTGGCCGGAGTACTTACCATTGAAATGAATAAACGCCCAAGCGTGTCCATGTACACTATGTCTTTTACAGGCAGTTGAGCTTACAGTCGTTTTATTTAACGCACCTAACTTGCGTTCAGGAGTAGATTTTATCAGCGTTTCAAACACCTGTAAACACGGCTAACCGCGTTTATAAGCGTTTGCATTTAGAAGTGTTTTTTAACTGTTCCATGTCCAGAGCCTTTTTTCATCATCAGAAATGCATGCAAAGCATTTTCCATGTATTCAAATGGACCCGGTACACCAGTGCAGTCAGTTCCAGGTTTTGCATGAAGGAAAAAATAGTAGAACGTGCCGCATTATGCACATGATGGGATCCATAGTGAATACAACCAGAAAAGACAACTAATCTCAATGCATACTGATCTCTCTGCTTCTGCTCTCTCTATTTCTCTCAAAATGTCTGAAATAGTTAATTTTTTACTGTTTTTTCCAGTACATTCTGGGCATTTGGGAAGGTCTCCTGATGGTATGTTTAAAAAACGCTTCTAAACACAAACACGCATAAACAGACATTTTTTAACCTACATTTTCCAGCAGTAAGTTTCCATCATTCAGAAGTGTTTTCCAAACGTCCCGTGTACATGGAGCCTTACACACGTTGTTTGGCCAAAATGTTTCTTTCCTGAAAATGATTCTTCTGCATTCAGGAGAGGAATGTTTAACTGCCCCTAAACTCTGCTACTGTTAAACTCTGATAAAAGCCTATATGTGCATGGACACATAGGCTTTTAATGAGCTGAGTTCAGGGCCATGGCGAAAAAAAACCCCAAAAGCTCCTGAACTTACGTTTAGGAGCAGCAGTGTGCTGAGGCCTACTTTCTAAATCCTGATGATATATTTGTTACAAAAAATAAATTCCAAACTAATAAGAACATCCCAAAAGATCTAATTTCACAGGGTTACAAAGTCACATCATGTTGTGTAAATCTGTAACAAACATCTTTCTAAAGAACTTCCTGCGTACTGTACCGCTAACTTCCTGTATTTACATGTACACATCCAGTAAAGGCAACACACAGCTACCTTTGTAAGCGAATCTTCCCATGTGTCTCATACACACAGTAAAACAGTGACAATCCAGTTACTGGAACCCATTAATTCACTTTACATTTGTAACCCTTCATTGTAACATTATGTAGTTGGAGAAATGGCCATCCTTATTGTTCCAAGGAAGATATTTAAAGAACCCCCACCCTGTGTAAAACCAACATTTTTATTTTCAATAAATTCTTGTAAGATTTCCATATATAACCGATTAACAATTCTAACTCTGTTGTCCGTCGAATTTAGCCTGACCCTTACCCCCCATCCCCCCCCATTGAGAGCTGTCCCGTTTACACCAGCTGACTTCCATTATGCGCCATATAACGCATGGTCACTGCTTTGCATTTTGATGCGTTGCTACAACACACTGCACTGTTTACTTTTTTTTAATCTTTATTGAAATGTTACAAAATTAGATTTCATTTAGCTGGTACCTCAACACACTAAGGAAATGCACATGCATTGCAGCGCACTGCAACACACCAGAGTGCGTTGCAAAATTTGTGGCAGATCTTCTTTTTGAGACACTTTTGTGCATTCTCCGCCAATTCAGTGGGTTGTGTTAACACAACATGCATTAATGCACCATACAGATGTAAATGGGCCACCATACAAACGGTTTCTTTCACAAGAAATGTTAAAGCAATTCTAAAGGTTCATTTTTTTATTTTGTGTAAAATAACAAACATGTCTATACTTACCTGCTGTGTGCAGTGCTTTTGCACAGAGTAGCCCAGATCCTCCTCTTCACGGGACCCCCCCAGTCTCTCCTGGCTCCTCCTTTCTGTCGAGTGCCCCCACAGCAAGCATGGGGGCACCTGCTGCTCTGTGTGTATATTCACACTCGGATCCACGGCTTGGTCCTGCCCCATCTCTCTCCTCATTGGCTGGCTGGCTGTGACTGGCAGCAGCAGGAGCCAATGGCTCCTTGCTGTCTCAGCCAATGAGGAGGCATAGCCCTGGGGCAGCAGAGGCTGTCATTCACATTGCTGGATCACGATGAGTCGAATAACCTTCAGCCTTCACAACCACTTTAAGTTATGTGGTCAGTCTGGTCACAAGCAGCACATAGAGGGGTTATTCCTAAAATCTGCAATATACTAAACCTGATGTAAAATCTACAAAGTAAGTACTGATTGGTGTTGTATGTATCATTTTTTAACATCTTGATATATCAGTATGGATGTCACACGACTTCCTTACTCTCGTTCTGGGACGTCCTCCCACTCTAACTGCACATGCGCGCCCCCCCCCCCCAGGGTCGCACGGCGATCGGTGGTGCTCTGTGTCCCTGGGACATAACAGATCAGATGATGTCGAAAGAGCTGATGATGTCGGCTCTGTCATGTGATCAGCTGTGTCCAATCACAGCTGATCACATGTAAACAAGGAAATGCCGGTTATAGGTAGTCCTCTCCTCACGCTGACAGCATGTGAGGATAGGAGAGCTGGTAAGCAGCATTCCTCAGAGGGGACATCTACATTGATCATCAGAGCACTGTCAGTGCCCATCAATGGCACCTGTCAGTGCCCTATCAATGCAACATACCAGAGCCCATTAGTGCCTGTCAGTGCCACCTAACAGTTCCAATCAGTGCTGCTTATCAGTGCCAGTCAGTGCTGCCTATCAGTGCCCATCAGTGATGCCTGTTAATGCCCACAAGTGATGCCTGTCAATGTGTCAAGGTCCTACCTTTCCTCAGACCTTGTGCTGCTCCATGTGCTGGCATCCATCTTAGGTGTCTGCAAAGCATTGTGGGATCCTTTATGCTTTCAGCCCTCTGCGGCTCCTTCCCCAGGAGGTGGCGGCTTATCACATATAAGTCTGCTGTTTGTGGCTGTCCATTGCATTCGTGTCCTGTCTATTGCACAACAGCAAGCTCCTGTTTAGCTACTCATTGCTTTCCTGGATACCGACTCGGCTTTGGCTAAGACTCCTCCTGGCTCCCCATAGCCCACTGACTATGGGGAGTACCTGGACGTGTTTGACAAGGTGCACAAGCCGGTGCTCTGCCTCCTCATCGTCCATATGATTGTGCCATAACCTTACAACCCGGTACCACTCCTCCGCGTGGCAGGGTGTATCCTCTTTCGGTTGCGGAGAATCAGGCCACGGAGCAGTACGTTGCGGATGCGCTTTCCCAGGGGCACATTCGCAAGTCTACTTCTCCAGCAGGAGCTGGCTTTTTCTTCGTGAAAAAGAAGGGCGGTGAATTGAGGCCTTGCATTGATTTTAGGGGTCTCAATCGAATCACGATTAAGAATACTTACCCAATTCTGTTGATAACCGAGTTGTTCGACCGCCTCAAGGGAGCAACGGTCTTTACTAAACTCGACCTTAGGGCTGCGTACAACCTCGTACGGATCAAGGAGGGCGACGAGTGGAAGACCATGTTCGACACCAGAACCGGCCACTATGAATCCCTGGTTATGCCCTTTGGGTTGTGTAATGCGCCCGCGGTCTTTCAGGAGTTCATTAATGATGTCTTTTGTGACTTGTTGCAGCAGTGCGTAGTGGTTTACTTGGACGAATCCTGGTTTACTCTGCGTCCATGGAGTCTCATATCCAGGATGTTAAGCGAGTGCTGCAACAATTACGTGAGAACGAGTGGTCATCCGAGGCCATCTTAGCTTTCGAAGCTCTGAAATTCGCCTTCACTTCGGCTTCGATACTGTCTCATCCCAATCCCGGGTTGCCTTTTGTCCTCGAGGTTGATGCATCTGAGACGGGAGTAGGCGCCCTCCTGTCTCAGCGTCGGTCACCTGATGGACCCCTACTTCCCTGTGGGTTCTACTCCAGGAAGCTTTCCTCCGCAGAATGCAACTACCAGATTGGAGACAGGGAGTTGTTGGCCATTATTCAGGCTCTCAAGGAATGGAGGCACCTGCTTGAAGGTTCTGCGGTTCAGGTTCTCATTCTCACTGACCACAAGAACCAGACGTATCTCTCGGAAGCTAAGAGGTTGACGCCCCGTCAGGCCAGATGGGCTCTGTTCTTGTCGCGTTTTAACTATGTGGTCTCCTATTTGCCTGGCTCCAAGAATGTCAGGGCTGATGCCTTGTCGCAGCAATACTCTGAGCTGTCCAGGGAGGACTCTGAGCCAACCTCGGTCATACCTCCGGATCAGATCCTGGCTGCCATTCGTACCAGCCTGACTTCTCCCCTTGGGGAGCAGATTTTGGCGGATCAAACTGATGCTCCCTCTGAGAGACCGGCTGGTAGATGTTTCTTACCTGAGGGATTGCGCATCCGCTTGCTGCGTACCTACCATAATTCCAAGACCGCCGGTCATCCAGGGAGGAACCAGTTGTCCTGGGTCGTTTCTCGTTTATTCTGGTGGCCATCTCTCCGTTCCGACATCGCCTCATATGTAGCGGCATGTTCTGTCTGTGCCCAGAATAAATCTCCTCAGCATCTTCCATTGGGCCTTCTGCAACCCATTCCCAATAGGGAGCGTCCCTGGTCACACCTGGGCATGGATTTTATTGTAGACCTCCCTGCGTCTCAAGGTCATATGGTCATTCTTATGGTCATTGATCGTTTCTCCAAGATGTGCCATTGTTTTCCATTCAAGAAATTGCCGACTGCGCAAGAACTGGCTACGGTTTTCGCCAGGGAGATCTTTCGCTTGCATGGGTTGCCTAAGGTGATTGTCTCGGACCGTGGGAGCCAGTTTGTGTCCAGGTTCTGGCGCACCTTCTGCTCCCAGTTGGGTATCAAGCTCTCCTTCTCTTCGGCCTACCACCCGCAGTCCAATGGGGCTGCAGAGCGTTCCAACCAGGCCCTGGAACAATTCCTTTGCTGCTATATCCCTGACCATCAAGACAATTGGGTCGATCTCCTGCCATGGGCAGAGTTTGCGAGGAACTCGGCTGTCAACTCCTCCTCCGGGATGTCTCCCTTCATGGCCAACTATGGGTTCCAACCCGCTGTATTGCCTGAGTTGTTCTCACCACAGGGCATTCCAGCTGTGGAGAACCATCTTGCTGCCCTGCGTTCCTCGTGGGGGCAGATCCAGAGGTCCTTGAAGGATTCAGCTTAGCGCCAGAAGCTCCAGGCTGGTCGTAGACGGTTGCCCGCTCCTTCATACCAGGTCAGAGATCGGGTGTGGTTGTCCACTCGTAACCTCAATCTTTGGGTGCCCGCACCGAAACTGGCTCCCCGTTTTGTTGGTCCTTTCCGTATCCTCCGCAGGGTGAACCCAGTTGCCTATGCCCTTGCTCTTCCTCCTGGGATGCGTATCTCCAATGTCTTCCATGTATCCCTGTTGAAGCCTCTGGTCTGTAATCGCTTTACTGCCTCTCCACCTCGGGCTCATCCTATCCGGGTCGACGGTCATGAGGAGTATGAGGTGAGCCGCATCCTGGACTCTCGGTTGGTCCGCGGTCGGGTGCAGTTCCTGGTCCATTGGCGTGGTTATGGTCCCGAGGAGCGTTCCTGGGTTCCTTCCGCGGATGTTCATGCTCCTGCCCTCCTCCGTGCTTTTCATGCCCGCTTTCCACAGAAGCCTTATGTTGAGCCGTGGAGGGGAGGGGCCCTTGAGGAGGAGGTACAGTCAAGGTCCTACCTTTCCTCAGACCTTGTGCTGCTCCATGTGCTGGCATCCATCTTAGGTGTCTGCAAAGCATTGTGGGATCCTTTATGCTTTCAGCCCTCTGCGGCTCCTCCCCCAGGAGGTGGCAGCTTATCATATATAAGTCTGCTGTTTGTGGCTGTCCATTGCATTCGTATCCTGGCCATTGCACAACAGCAAGCTCCTGTTTAGCTACTCATTGCTTTCCTGGATACCGACTCGGCTTTGGCTAAGACTCCTCCTGGCTTCTGACCCCGGCTCTGGCGACCATTCTTCCTGGCTCTTGACCCCGGCTTTGGCTACGATTTCCGCTGTTGGACTTGCATAGACTCTTGTCTTATTTTTATATTAATAAAAACTACGTTTAATTGCACCTCCTTGTGTGTCTTGCTCCTCGCTCCCTGACACAATGCCCATCAGTGCCACCTACCAGTGCCTTTCAGTACAGCCTATCAGTGTCCATCACTGTAGCCTCATTAGCGCACATCAGTGAAGGAGACAAATGACTTATTTACAACATTTTATAACAGAAACTAGAAAAAACTTTTTTTTTTTCAAAATTTTCAGTCTTTTTTAGTTTGTTTAGTAAAAAATAAAACCCCCAGTGGTGATTAAATACCACCAAAAGAAAGCTCTGTCTCAAAAAAAATTATAACAATTTTGTTTGGTTACAGTGTTGCATGACCGCGCAATAGTCATTCAAAGTGCTACAGAAAATTGGCCTGGGCAAGAAGGGGCTAAAGTGCCCAATAGGCAAGTGGTTAAACTCAGTCTTTGTAAAACTAAGCTCATAATATTTTCCACCTTGCCTGTGCCCCCTCCCCTGACTTCTCGATCAAGATTAACAATACAACAATCAATCCCTCCATTCATGCCAGGGTACTCTCCAAATCCTTTAGACTTCACCTCTGTAACATCTCTAAAATATGCCCCTTTTTTTTGTATCAATGAATCCACTAAGGAACGTATTCACTCCCTTGTTATCTCTTGGCTTGACTATTGCAACTCCCTTCTCGCAGACCTATCTCTATACAGACTATCTACCCCCTTAGTTTATCATAAATGGTGCTGCCAGGCTCATTCAACTTACCAACCACTCAATGTCTGCCACACCTCTCAATCCCTCCACTGGCTCCCAATTGCTCAACAAATAAAGTTAAAAATACTAACATACAAAACCATCTACAACTCTGCCCTGAGCTACAACACCAATCTTGTCTTGAAAGATCACCCAAATCTTCCTGTCTGCCCCTTCCAAGACCTCCTGCTCTCTAATCTCCTCCTCCCATGCTTGTTTCCAGGACTTCTCCAAAGCCTCTCCCATGCTCTGGAACTCTTTACCCCAACTGGCCCACCTATATCCTGCTCTGTCCACTTTTAGGAGATCCCTGAAAACTCATCTCTTTAGGGACGCCTATCTTGCCTTCAGCTAACAACTGAATCTTTTATTTTTCCTATCAGCTCATCTTTTAGTTACTTCCTTTATTTCCACTTTCTCCTCCCTATGAGATTGTAAGCTCTCAGGAGCAAGGCTCTCCTAGCCCTCTTGTATTAAATTGCATTGTTACTATATTGTCTCCCTATTTATTGTAAAATGCTGAACACACTATTGGTGCTATATAAATCATGTCTAATAATAATCCTGATCTTCACAGAAGTCCATTCAACAAAGGTGCTCTAGCATTCTTCTCCACATCCCTCAAAGTGTATATATACTCTACCATTGAACAAAAGCAGTGTAGGGTGCAATGAGAATGAGCAAACAATAGCTAACAGTCACATTATACAAGACCAGTCTTTCTAAACCTTTTTACCCCAAAGACCCCTTGAAATCGTTTCTAAGTCTCAGGGAACCCTGCTTACATAATATCTATCTATTAATAGATAAACCTCATGGTGTAATGATCTGATCAGTAAGTTGCAAAATTAAATTGCCCCCTTAGAGTGATGGACAGTGGAAAATTGCCCTTTTACGCTGGTGGTCAGTGTAGACAGGAGATCAATCAATCCACCAGTGCTCACTTGTCAAGGAATGCCTAGCTCTGACTTGGACTATCTTAAAGGTGGATAAC